TATATTTTGAGCTTGTGTTTGTGTGTTTGCGTGTGTGTCTGTCAGTGCGTGTGTGTGTGTGCATCTGTGGCTATGCAAATGCATTTGAAATTGACCCTGGAGACATTTTCGGTGCCCAGAAAAGCCAAAACACATTTATTGTTTGTTCTGCTGTTGCTGTTATTGTTGTTGCTTGGCGATTCGATTTGTTGCTCGGCTTGTTTAATTGTCTACAGCTTCAAGTGTTTGCTCTAGTGTTTGTTTTATTTGTTATTTTGCTGCTCTGTTGGTTAATCAGTTGACTTGGATTGCTCGTTTAGCTGCTAAAGAGAGAAAGATATACTGAGAAGGAAAAAAGGCAATGTGGAGTATAAGAGAGAGAATGTCATCCATTCAAAATGTTTGAATGGGCGGCCAACAACAGATTGAAGAAAAAACTTATAATTATTAATATTAACTAACATCTAAATTACACAAAATTTGCAAAATTGAGCAGAAAGGAGCGTCTCCGACCCCATAGAGTAAATACATTCGTGAGTCGATCTAGCTATGTTCGTCTGTATGTATATCTATAAGATCAATAGACTTGCTGGTTTGACTTCCTATTGCCCAGATATATCTTTAGGGCTTAATAACTATGGTCACCGAATTTGACATTTAGCTTTTTTTATAGTATATACAGATCATGTATATTTTTGTTTCTTGTGTGGTATTTTTGACTAAAGCGTGAGCTTTTAACCAATTTTCTAAACTCCAATTTCTAATCTTTGCTAGATGAATAAAAATTTTCCGGCTTAATGACATCCGTTCCAATAACGATTCGTTCTAGTTTACATTGCCAATTTATTATTCTGAAAAATGATTGTTTATGTGGTTAAACAATCTTAAGGTCCAAAATATAGGTGTACACTAAAGTAAAATTTGTAATACCCTAATTGTAGTATTTAACCAAAATTTCCGTCACATACTCATAGCCCAAAAGCAGTATAGCTCCGCCTGGGCCAACACGCATAACCTGCGGCAGGAGGCCCTTGTAGAGTGCGTGAGCGCCTTCTTCTTTATATACCGTCATAAGCGTGCCATATGTCCGGGCATATTTAATTTCGCCCGGCACGGGCTGTGGTCCCTGTATCCGCGTCTTTGCCACGTCAAGGGGAATGCTGAACAAGCAACCCAAAGAGCCGGCCGAATAGGCGATCGTAAAATTGCGCAGAAACTCCATAACGGAATTATTATAAGCGGGTGTGGCCTCTCGAACACTGCAAAAGAAACCGAAGTATAGTATGTGAAAAATGAAGTTTCTCGCCATGGTCGTTGTCACGCCTTTGTAAAGTCCATTGAAACCATAGCCGCCTTCATTGATGATATTCCTCGCGACACGCATGGGATGGAGTTTCTTCTTTCGATTCGCCTGCTGTGTAACCTTGACAACCTCGAAGGGATTTTGTAGCAGCACCTCAAGGGTGCCGGCCAAACCACCAGCTAGCGCATAGGTTACGGGAGCCGGCACCGACCCAGACTGAAAATACGGCTTGGACTGCTCAAAACTCACAAACTTAATGGCACGTTTCGGCGTGTCAGACACTAGTAGAGGGCCGACGCCTCTCCAAAATGCGTTAACACCTTCCTGACGATATATTTTGGCAAAGGCATGAAGCACCCCCCTATAGTGATTGGGTCCTTTTGTCAGTGCATTGCTCTGCAGTTGAAGTCGGGTCTTAACCACATCCAGTGGCAGCATAAGAAACACCTCAACAATACTGGATGATCCGCTGGCGATAATTTGAAAAGCGACAGTCTTGAAGTGCGGGATTTTGCGCGAGAGTGGCTCATTTAAGGGTTCCACATCGGGTTGTTTGAATTTAGACATAAGGCATATGTATAGTTGTTAAAAAACTGAATCAAATTCCAAAGGTCTAGAAAGTTTCGGCAAGTCTTATATAAAATTCGTTATATTATATAATAATCAATATCAGGGACAATTTTCTTGAGTAGGACAGCGACAGGCGGGTGATTTTTGCACCCACAAGGGGAGTGTCCGTTCAACAGAGGGATAAATGTTATGACTTGATTTAAATTGAATGTCTGTTAGGAGAGGTATATATAAGAAGTAAAGCATAATCGAACATACCACTTTTAGATACTTTTGCATCCTTGAATATGTACTTTTTTTCCATTTTAGGTATGTTTGTATCAACAACAAATGCATTTATGTTTTTTATGTTATGCTTATGTTTCTCACAGATGCTTTGAATCTCACTGATTCACTTCTATTTTACAGAGAATATCTAACAAAATCCTGCTCCGATTTTTCCAGTAACTCGCAATTTTCAAATTCCTTTAAATTTATCTCACCTGTCTAAATTGTTTTTGTGACATCTCATCAAATTCGGCGAATTAAACTCTGCTACTCTCCGCACTGCAAGGATTGCTCACGTTCGATATCTGCTCTTCGTAGTTTTCTCTCTAGTTAACTAACGAATTAAGAAACTCGCTGGGACAGCAGCCTCGCCCTCACCTTAACCAGCTCTAATTGCTGACCACGTGATACCCCCTCTTCAATTGCCATACAGTTGAGTGGGCGTGTCATAGTGGAAGAAGAAGCAGCAGCAGCCAAAAATCGACCCAATGGCTGAATAAACGAATGGGAAACTATTTAGGGGCTCACTTAAAGCAGCTTCCCAAACAATTCACATAAATTAATTACAGTGCGCTTGTAAATGTGTTATATAATTGTTGTTGTTGCTGTTGTCAGTTGTCTCGTAATTGTTGTTGTCGAGCTAAACAATTAAGTGCAAATTGTTAAACATGCAGAGCTGCGGTTTGCGGCCGTGTTTGTGTTCTTGTCTCTCTTCCTGTCCCATTGCTATCTGGCTCTGTGAACCTCTCTCTCCGGTACCCCAAAACTAGCTGCGGTTTTGCATTTGACTGACTTTTAAAAGTGGAAACTTTATACAAGACTTTGTGTTCTAGTTAGTTGCTTAAGTCATTAAGTTGTTGAAACTGGGGCTTACTGGTTAAAAAAAAGTATGCCGAAAATGAAATATTCTTGCAACGGATATTCTAACATTTCCTTATAACTATAGTTAATGTTAGGTTTTTAAAAGCAAAAATAATCATATATACTATAATCATATCCAAATTAGGCCAGATAAATAAGGTATTATAAAGTATTAATGTGTATAGGTATCTTTTAAACTACATTTTACTAATATGTATGTGACTTTGTGCCTTGCCCCGTTCAATGCAGTCATTTCCCGTCCAGCGTAAATTTATATGTATATGTACTATGTTGCGCTCCAGGTTTCAAGTTATACCTTACATATCAATTTGAAAATAAGTCAAGCGAATGAAAATCTTAGAATCAACGCTAGTCACGCGGTGTGAAGTTTAAAGAAAATAGCCATGAGACCGTGCACCTTCATAACATAACTTCAGTACAGTGTGTCAGGCAGTCTGTTAATCAGAAAAAAACAGTCGTACATGTAGATATACGAATCAGTATCCGGCTGGTCTTCTTATAGACAGATGAAGATAGGCTTTGAGTACATTACAGGAGGCATTTGTTTGACCGTAACTAACCCGGGTTATTCACTGAGAAGAGTAAAGGTTACACGGGTAAAATTCTCTTGGGCGGACAGAGACAGTCTGGTAATTATTGTCCGATCGAGTCCGTTTAATGGAGGTGGCCGTTAGGTGAATTATCACTGTGTAAAGAGTAAATAGTTGAGAGATGAAAAGTTTATTGCCTAGCGCTAATTCGATATCAATTTCAGTTTTATTCTTTTCACTTAAAGACATGCTTTCTCTTCCGTACGGCAGTCATGACTAACTTCATGAAAGTCACACCTGTGAGCGCTTGCTCATAACAACAATTATGCTAATGCAGTTCAGTCCGGCGACGTCAATCCAACATAATTGCTAACAAATTAGTCATGGTCACACTGGCCCAGCTGCAGCTGCTGCAACAGCTACAAATGACTGTCTGGGCTGTCGGAGTCCATTGTGCTCCCACTTGACTTGTCGGAGGCGAAGTTTAACACGTTTCATTGTCTAGCTGTGTGTGTGTGTGTGTGTGTGTGTGTGTGTGTGTGTGTGTGTGTGTATCCCTGTGTGGATCCTGGCAATTTGCGTGTCACGCTGCACAAATGCCAGGCAGCCAGCTAGGTCCGGGTAAAAACCAACTGTGGCATTTGCCAGCCCACTTTTGCAGCCTGCTTACTGGGCCCAATGAAGCAAATGAGTTTCATTTCGTGTCCTTCAAACAGATGCTTGTCTATGTGTCCTAAGGCCTGCCCGGCAGCCGGCTAAGTTGGCCCAAAGTGCTTGCCTGGCTGGCATCAGTGCCTGCCGGTATTCTAACCGTGTTCTGAAGCGATCTCCACCCCCAACCCCGTCCACCTTCAACTGGTGTTGCCTTTCGAGTGCTCCACTTTTGATGGAGTGCGTTAAATTTATATTATAATATTAAGTAAATGAATGGGCCGGCTACTTAGGAACAGAGAAGTAGCCTTAGTTCGTGTTTGAAGCATTGTTAATATATGCGTAATCATGTCGAAGAAGGTAATGGAGTGTCTTTAAAAAGGAAGCTTGTGTCTAAGAAAGTTCCATGCTCGTATAGCTAAAGAAAACTATGCCTCGAAATATCTCTGGAAAGTATATCAGATATTAATCAAAGAGAAGTGAGATATTGATACATTTTCTACGAGTCTGTAGAATAAATGAAAACTATACGATTTATTATGTTTTATCCCAATCTTAGTTTTCTTTTTATACACTTAACCCATTATAAATGGGCAAAAAGCGTATAATGTAATTGTGCAAATGTATGTAACAGGCAGAAGAAGGTTTTTCTAGTGCCCGCGCAGCACGAGTTTGTTTCCGATAATCGATAACTTGTCACCAAACTTGACATGTAGCTTTCTGAATAGTAACATATATATGTTATATATCAAGTATCCTTCATTTGATACTACCTCCCCGCTACCACCTCATAGCTATAAATCAATTAAATACTCCAATTTACTTCCACTGTCCAGATAAGAACACATATGGATTAAATATTTTATTAATAACTCTTAACTCCAGAAAGTTGCTTAGAACTGTTTTAAGATTTCCAAAATACCCTGCATGGAGGGACGCTTATCGGGGTTCTTATCCCAACATTCTTGCATCAGAGTTTTTATTTGCTCGGGACACTCAAAAATTAAATCATTTAGAGATGGCCGTAGATCTGCATCAATTGATGTATTAATGTTAGTGTTATTCTTAAACATCTCGTATATTCAAACGCATATAATTTATAAACATACCGAGATCGTCAATTTGTGTTAAGAGTTGAATCTGTTTAAGCTCATGTTTCTCATAGTACGGCACTTTACGCGACAGAACTTCCCAGATTGTAATGCCCATGCTATACACATCACATTTCTCAGTGTATCGCTTACCATTGAAAACCTGTGTGTTGTAAAGTGCGTTAATTAAAATGATATATATCCCCGAAAATATGAAATATATGAACCTCGGGTGCCATATACAAGCAGGTACCCCGTTGGCTTGTCATTTGGGTTTGCACATTTCTGACGAACCCGAAATCGCAAATTTTCAACGTTCTTCTAGTGCCGTCTAGCAACATATTGAGGGGCTTCACATCACGGTGAATCACTGATCGCTCTGATTGCCCATGTAGATAAGCGAGCGCCTATAAATATAACATAAATAATCAAAGTTTTCATCCGCTCTGATTAAAAAGCATATGTATTATATACCTCCGCAGCCTGACGTAACCAGCTTATACCTTCTGCAAGTGTATATGGTATATCGCTCTTATGCAAGAAGGACCACAAGGATCCGCCTTCGGCATATTCCATAACTAAGTGGGTCTCTATGTTGTCGGTCGCTATACCAATTAATTTGATGATGTTCCTATGTTCGACCATTGCCAAATAATTTACCTCGCGTTCAATATCCTTCTTCTCAGTTGTCCCCTTTAAGCTTTTGATAGCAACCACATCGCCATTATAGGTTCCTTTCCAGACGACTCCAAAGGTGCCTTCTCCAATTTTCTACATAATTTGCACTCTTTTACTAATAAAAACCTTATATATATTTACCATATAAATTTACCTCTACGAAAACAAGCTGACTAAGTTGAATTTCAGCCATTTCTCTGTCAGCTTCGAACGTATAATGAAAGTACAAGTATTAACTGATATTTATTCGTACTACTTTTCGAATTGTTATCAGCTGCGATAACAAATTTCTTTATCGGCAATGCAATACCAATGATGCGATCGGGCAGCTTAGCTGCCATAGCAAACATTTTATGCAGGGGTTGTGCTTCTTCTCTGTAGGTAAGGTGTAATCACTCCTAAATAATGGGTCTCAGACTATTTGAGTAATAGTAAAAGGGTTATTATCATAAATTCATATTTCAAATTCATCCAGGTGACTTTTGAATTCCCCAAATTATTCATCAAATTAATCCATGCCAGTGATGTAGAGTTGTGCTCTGCATATAAGGATATGGACTCTTGTAATCTATTACAAGCCGACATTGATGACCTTTACTCTTGTGTCGATCCAATAAGTTTGACGTGTCTTTTAAATTTTGTCTGACTAACTATGGCTAACATGAATCGTTTAGAGTGCTCTGTGATAAGAATAACAATAACATTATTTTCTTTTAAGTTTAAGACCATAGTTTTAGTTAGAGCTCGTTGTATTTTGAAAAAAAAGAGATAAAAGAAAGTGCTATAACACGCGAAATATTTTTGCGAAACCTCGAAACTCATGTAGGGTAAACAATTTCAGGTCATATGAACATGTGAATACTTTTCGAATAAGGTCAAGTCACTAACTATTTTACACTAGATAGGCATTGCCGTATATCTCTAAAGTTTTGATTGAAGTCATTCTGAAGAGCTGAATGAATAGAAGCGTATTGTATATATAGTCAACGGTGTTTATTTTGCCAATAAGATAAGATGTTCGTATCAATAACAAATATATGTAGAATTTGTGAGTCATATTTAATATTAAAGAAAAGAACACAGTCAATATATCATTTCATTAATTTTTATTATTATAATTATTATTATTATGGTTATTATTATTAATACGGAATATAGTCACATATTATCAACTGTTCCAAAATTTTCACTTATTTGTTCTTAACTTGCGTCTTTGATATAATAAACTGAAATGGAAAAGAAAATATTATTTTTCTTTATGCCCTTCCTGTTATGCAACCTGGCTTTTTAGCTGTCAGCTCCCTTTTGATATTTGCCACCAACATTTCTGTAGCTCTCACTCGATGTCTATTCAAAGCACTCGTTCTTTTTTTCTAGTATCTGCCACAGCGAGTTGGCTGGCAGCCCTCGTTTCTTGTCATTTTAAAGCCATTTGATGTATGACAAATCAAATTTGACAAACTGCCAACAGTTGTTTTGCATCTTTGCAACATTTTTCAACGCCTTCGCATGGTGGAGGATTCGCTAGTCCCCAAGTGTGTCCAGAGAGACATGTGAAATCAACGCTGTACTTTTGCACATTAATACTTTAGCATAGATACAGAGACGCAGAGAAAGTTCGAAAGAGAGGAAGAGAGGGATAGAGAGAGAAAGAGTAAGAGAGGTAGGGAGAAAATTTACATACTCATGACATGACATGCAAAAATGCTGCTGAGGACCAGGGATTTGTTGGGGGTTGCAACGAATGTAACTTTAATACAGACAAAGGGATTGAATCCCAATATAGGGCTTGCAGACAACAATTCTAATGATGCTGTTAATGATATTGCAGAAATGTTATACCATGTCCGATTAAGCTCTTGCTAGGCTAAGCAAACCTCAAAGAAAATAACTAAACACGTACGAGCTGCCATCACATCGGTCGGTGCCTGGAATCCAAACGAAAATTGCGCCAAGGCTTCTACTGACACTTGGGAAATAAAAAGAGTTAGCCGTTGCCTTTTTTGTTTAATTTCGTGCACCACATACCCAATCCCCCACATCATGCTCTATGTTTAAAATAAAAAGTCAAGTGAAGCGCTGACTGTCTGACAGTCAAACTCGAAGCCGGGAAAACGTGCGCTCAATCAAGCGCCTCTGCAAGAACTGCTGCTGCGGCTGCTGCTGCTGAGCTTCAACTGGGGAAATTTACAAGTCACACACACTCGCAAAGAGAAAGACACAAATGCGCCAAGTGGAAACCTAAGGATATGGTCGGAGTTGGAGCAGCAATTGCAGTGGAGGCGACTCATGACTCTTGACTCTCTTGCATATCGCATAAAAAATTAAATCGCCAGCGTAAGAAATATGCAATTTGCTCGATTTGTGCATGATTTCGCATTGCTTCCATTGAAATTTTGTGTACAGGCAGCGAAATGATTATAAAGCAAACTGAAAAACCTTATTTATAATATGAATATTAACTTTTAATATGAAACAATCGATTGCTGTGTATATGGTGCCAATACATTTTTGAAATCCTGACAAAATGTGGAATCTTGCCACTACAGACCAATTTTCAACTTGTAAAATAATAGAATCTGCTGACCAGCTCCTCTTTAGATGCACGATATACGGTTCAATTAGGGGAAGATTCAGGATATTTTAACTTTTTAAATCAACCAAGGAACTACTCCTAACCAAAGAGACTATCTACCTCAAACATTTGTTTAAATTTTCACCTGAAGTCAATTTCGATATCTGAACTTTCCGTAGTTTCCGTAGCAAGTCACGTAAAATGAGAGACATCTTTCATTAGCAAATTTTAATTACGCCCGCTATAAACAATTTGGAGCTAACTGATCGATACATCTGATCGTATCTGGTCGTTGCTCAATCGATCAATTTTATAGAAAAAAAATTAAATACGAGGGAAAGAGAGAGAGAAAGAGATTTCGCTCCTTATTTTCAATTTGAAATTTAACTCTATGATATATTTAAATTATTATTATATTATATATACATATATAATATATTTATTTTATTTTATTTGTATATCATAAAAAGCTTTTTAAATACTTTTAATATAGAATTTCCCTATTTGTAGGATATCTATAGTTGCATTCGCTAAATATTTTTTCTTTAACATACTCACATTATTTTTACAATAGTTTCTTTCGCTAAGTGTACCCAAAACTCATGTATACCCCGAATACACATGATGATGAGAAGTCGTGCGTGTAGTTCCCTTTCCTTTTATAGATATATCTGAAAACAGAAGAAGAAGAAAAAAACTATTTTAGAGCACAGAGCGCTACATGTGCCGCTTCCAAAAAGTGTACCCCAAGGATATGGTGTCAGTTTGGCAAGTTATTGCATTGCATCGAACCCAAACCCAATGCCCAATGCTATTGATGGGAACGGTTTTAGGCGCCCAGTTACCAGTCGCTCTCCATTTGGTCCGCCGCCCGCCGCGGCCCGTTACCCTGTGCCGTGTGCCCTGTGGCGCCTTTGACTTCCATACGCTTTTTGATTGTTGTGCGACTGTCGCTTAACATTCGAGGCTCGGAGTCGGAGGTTCGAGCTTCCAGCTTCGACGTTTGCCGTTTGACTTCATGCATGAGTGGCTTTGAGTGGAAGTTCATATTGGGTCTAGTCATGTGCCTGGAAGGCCACCAGATCCACCCCGCCTGCTGTACCCAAAATTACTTTTGCTCTGTCGCTTTGTACATTTTATATGAAGACGAAGTTGCTCCAAAGGGATAGCCAACTGCAACGTGAATGTTACCTGGACGCAGGCTTCAACTTTCCGTTGCATCAACGTCCTGTGCATTTACTTGATGTTAATGCCGGATCTGGTCTAACCTGGGCCACTACTGGCAAAATCAAGTTATCTGCATTTGTGTTGTCGTGATGCTATGTGAAGTTTTGGGCAGAAACTTGAGACATAGACGGCAAGTAAATTAGTAATCAATATGTAGGATTTTGGAGCTCTGATGCCGCCGCCTGCAACGCTGATCCCATTAGCTGCACATGCTACTCTAGACTCAAAGCTCCCAGAGAACTTCAGGCTCCACTCCAGCTTAATCAAAAAACTTCCCAGTCTGATGGTAGCTGTTGATGAAATGCTGCTACAAGAGCTGCAACTGGAGCAGGAGGCACAACATTGCCACCATCTTGTGGTACACACACATAAAGCACTTTGTATGCATGTCGGCGACTTGTGGACGCTGGCGCCTTCGGCTCCACCAACGTCTTTTGCTTCGTCCGCGTCCTGTGTTATGAATATAAATTTATTTCCCACGTCACAACACAAACATGAGGTACACACACGCACACACACACACACGCACTCCCCATATATATACAGACATTTCACACATCGCGCATAATAATAATAATAAACGATAACGAAATTTACTTCCTAGTAAGCCACACACACATACAAGCAGACGAGCACACGCATGGCGAGATGAGTCCTAGATGGAGCGACAAAGCGCATCCTTCCTATTTCCGGCGTGTGCTCTTTATGAAATTTGATATTGCCAAACTATTACAGTGCCTTAGAATAAGTATATATACGCTTTATCCCACTCCATGGCTTATAATTTGGTTAATGCGCCTGCTTTGTGCGCTTAGTTTGTGGCGTATGTCCGTTCACAGTAAAATATTTTGGTGTTAATATTAAACATTTTCAGAACTGGTTTTAAGCGCAATTCCATTGTGGACTGAAAACGATCTGAGACT